TTTAGGCCAACAAGTAAGGAGTAGAATGACGGGAAAGAAACTCACATTTGCATCATTTCAAGTGACCTGGAAATAAGTTTACAACACCCAGCCATAATCCAGTCGCTTATATTTTTTTTAACTTCTTGGCTTCTTGCCTCCTAATTCCTTGTCCTCTATAAATGTTTAACATCAAAACATTTGAAAACTGTGGTGGTAGAGGAGACTGGGGAGAGAAAAACCTCTGACAGTCCTGGTTAGGTGTTAGTGTATGCACTGCCTACCCTGGGTTTAACCATGTGGGGAGAGTTGGCTTTTGTGCGTTAAAATGCTGATGGAGAGGATGCATCGGAGTTCAGCATCACAGTTTAGGGGGCATGAAAAAGTACCCAAGGGGAAAGCCTCTACAGATGACATTCTTTCCCCATCTTGAATAATTCTCACCACCCACCTGCCCCTGCTCTTACATCTCTGTCTAGCAGTGCTGACTGCAAGCTCAGTGCAAAGGAAGGTGTGAGCCAGGCTGGCCAGGTAAGCATCCACCCAACAGGGACCAAGAGGAACAGTCAGGGGGAGAAGGCAGAATTCAGTCATTTTCCCAGGTTACCTTGATGTTCTGAGTGTCTGTGTTTGTGTATCTTACATTTCTAGGATAAAAGTGATAATCAGTAAATACGATGAAATGGGTAGCTTTGAGAGGCTCATTTATAAAACACCAGTGGTGTTTTGTGGGTTATGTCACACTTAATAAATGTCATGTAATCATACCTGTCTAACGTACTGACATCTGGCATCTCGGCTGTTCCACTCCACGGGTTGTGAATCCGGGAAGGGCCTTCAAATAGACTTTAGATTTGTTCTAGGAGACAGAGAAAATGGGTGTGCGTTTGTTTGTTTGTTTATATCAGCTTTTATAGGCATGATGTCTTTTTTATTAGGGCTGGAGCTTCAAAAACGACTAATGAAATAATGTTAGAAATAATAGTTTGTTTTAAGCACCTAGAATTTGGCTTCTTTTGTTTGTACAAACATAACAACTGTCAAAATTCCAGCAGAAAGAGTAGGTTTGTTCTCAACAGGAAAAGGAGCTATAAAATACTTACATAAAATAATTATCTACCTAGTGAGTGAGACTCAGCTGTGGGGTTTGTGTCACACAGGAAGCAGGCAGTTTGGACACCCTTGGACTTGAGACCCCTGAGTGGCCCTGCCTCCCTCGATGGGATGTTAGCAGGAAGGGAAATGTGTATGTATGTTCTGTCTTTGTGATATGCTGCCTTTCTGAGTCATTTGGAGGAGGCGAGCCGCTGAGCATTACAGAAAAGGGACGCCTGTGTCCTCTCCCATGTCCACGGCCAAAAGCAAGCCCCCGTGACAATGTTTTAGAGTGAGACTGAGGGACTCACACTTTCTTGCTTGAGCAACTTAAAGTTTTCTCACCACCGTTCTTCGGTCCAGAATGGCTCAGTGCTCCCTGCACAAGAGAGCAGAACCCCCTGCAAAGCGCACACCGGATCCTTTATTTCCCAGTAGACACATCGTGGGCTTCGGGCTACTCCTCCCGTGACACGCGGCCGTGCACGCCGGACGGCGGCGCCCAAGCTCGCCACCTAGTGGTTTCATCAGCGAGGAGCAACTGCTCTCAGATGAAAAAAGACTTTATACACTGCTTTCATATTCTTTCCTTACAGTCGTTGAAATTCCTTAAACTCTGTACTTTTCCACAGCTGATAAGATACTAACATTGCTTCTTTTCTCACATATTAGGGGCTTCGTCTTTTATCTTGCCAAGGTGTCTTAATTGTTTCTTAATTATATGAATGTTTTTGCCACGGATTCTGAAACTGTGCTTATAGCAAGTGTGTGGAGGTGTGTCACTTTTTAGTGCAAAAGGAACTTCTTACTTCTATAGATGACCAGGCAGGTGCCTGCCCCCTCAGGGCCGCGGGGGCAGAGGTGGAGGGTGTGAAGGCCCCCTGACTCGCAGAGGGCGGCTGAGCCATGGGGCGGAGCAGCAGGGCTGCGGGAGGAGCCTTTCGGGCCCGCTGGAAAAGGGCTAGGGAGGACAGGGGCACACCCTTTCAAAGGGGCTGATGTCTGAGCAGTCTCTTCCAGTCCCTGGTCCAGAGGAAGTGGGGGAGGTCACTTCCCAGGGGAAATACCAGGAACCGTTCCATCAGAGACAGGAGGCGGGCGCTTGACTGGGGACAGTGACAGCCGCCCCCTGGCAGGGTGTCCGTGACTCCCCACAGCCTTCATTAAGCTTCTCCCGATGAAGATGTTCTCTAGACACCTGTCAGAGCGGGACTGGGGAGGGGCGCCGGGCTCTGCAGCAGCCTGGGTGGAGGCGGGAGAAAGAGCCATGCCCGCCCTCCCGGAGCTTGGGGTGTGACTGGGGGGACACAGGCCAGGCCTCAGTGGTTCAGGGACCCAGGACAGGGCTGGAGGGGCAGCACCCAAGCCATCGCCAGAGGAGGGCGCAGGGGGACCACTGCCAGTGACCAGCGGGGATGGGAAAGGCTCTGGATTTTAATTTCACCACAAAACACACTACGTCATACTGAAGCCTCCTTAACATGCTAGAAGAGCCTTCATGTGTTAGTGTGATATTTTGTTTTAAAACTTTCTTCGAAAGTACTGCTCCTGTATCAGAAGACATGGCTTTTAGTAGATTTGGGAGCTTTCCCCAGACCTTTATGTGCCTTCTAATTCAGTTAATCTACTTTTAAGTTAATCTTGTTGAGTTTTTGTTTATAGTTAAGAGATTTAAAAAAAAAATAGGGGCTACTCCTTTTCAAAATACACCTTTGAAAGCTGTGAATTAAGAATGTATCACCCTTTGAAGTACTAAACAAAATGACAAGAATTACTTTTTTTATTTTAACATGTAATGGAATTGTGTTGATGACACATCAAAGGATAGATATATATAAATAAAATATGGGCACATTTCCTCCCTGCCTAAAACATACATAACATTTCAAAGAGGTTGAAAATGGGGAAATTTTACTTTTCTCCAAAGAAAAGTAGCTAATTTTTGTATCAGCTCCTTGCAGGGCATGCCGAGGCTTTGAACAGGGAGATGTGTTTTGATGTCTGCAGGGTACTTCCACACACGCAGCTCCATGTGATCCCTTGAACGGCCTTCGCAGGTAGACGCCGTAGGATCGTAATCACCATTTTCCAGATGAGGACGCTGAGACCCTTGATTAAGTGACTTGCCACCCAGGACACCCGGGAAGCAGCCTGTCCAAGACTGGAAACCGTGGTGGTTTTCTAGGTCCCATCTTGCTGCTCGCTGCCTGCTCTGATCACCTTCACGTCAGTGATGTCTAAAGACCTTGACGTAGACAGTGTGCTTGCCAGTATTTAAAAATGGCTTGTTCAAGTACACAATCTCAGATTTTTTTTTTAAGTCCTCATGAAAAACCTATTCAGTTGAATGTGGGTGGGATTTTGTGATAATCCAGCGCAGGTGATGAGACGTGCTGTCGAGGGGAAGGGAAATCACCTTCATCTCTTTCTCTTACTTAAATGGTTAAGCCCAAATTAGCTTGCGCCGGCAACATGGACTGATTCGTTTCTTAATCACCAAAATCCTCATCAAGATAAGATTGGAATTTTTATCACTAAGTATGATTTGGAACATTTCTTACCAAATTCAGTACTTCGATGATCTTCACTGATTCTCCGTGGTTGCTGCCAACGAACCCTTCAGCATCGTCGGCCCAAGTCACAGGCCTGCAGAAGGATCCTGTGATCTGATTCTTTTTTTGCTGTTCTTTTCCTCCACAGTGTCTTTCCCTAACTTAAAAGAGCATGAGGGTTTTTTTTTAACCATTTAAGAAAACAGTAGATTACCAAAATTTTAAGAGTTCTGCGTGACGTCGGGTGTTTGGTGCGCTCCCCACCTAATCTGGTGGCTGTGGCCAGCTCTGCCCCTTCCTTCTGGGGGTTGTCCTGTTCCCTGTGTCGAGTTCATTGGGATTTCACAAGGAGGAAATAATAAGAATCTTTTTTTTTTCCCCTTCAGTTTTCGGGTTTGATTGTACTTATGTAAAAATAAATTCATTTCCTTTTTTTTTTTTTTGTCTAGATTGAAATTGGAAGAGCGAAGAAAAGAGCTGCTACAAAAACTTGAAGAAACTACTAAATTAACTACATATTTGCATTCACAACTTAAAAAGTAAGCCTGTTTGGTTCTTGGAGGGAAATTTTTTCTTGTCTACATTCAAGCATGTTTGGGTTCATCTTTGATTACTTTTCTCTTTATTTTCAGTGACTTAAAAGTAAGAAAATCAAAAATTTAAAAAAAAAGAGAAATAATTGTGGAGATGCAGCTGCTCAGTCTACGTTACCCATATTCTAAATGGGAAGTCCCACTGGTGTTAATACTGGTCGTCAGTGGATGAGCTGAAGGGCAGTGATCTCTTTGCACAAACACACGTGCATCTTCGTAAAAAAATATATATACATATATATGGTCTCCTTTCTTTCATTTACAAAAAAAAAAAGTAAGAAAATACTTATACTAGTACAATAAAACTTGGATGACCAAATTTATAGTTGCAGAGGTTTGGAGTTTTTTTAAATGAACTCCAAGGTCCTACTTGGAATGTGTTTGAAATGTGCTGGGAAGAAGATGTATTTCAACTTTCAGGACATCCTTAGGAAAATGACACATTTCTCCACATCACCCCATCTTTTAAAAAGGGAGGGTCAGGGAGACTTGCCCTAAAATAGCCACACACTCACTCCTGAAGTATACACAGAAAGAGGAGGAAGGAGAGTGAGGCCAGGGGCCTGCCTTTGTCTTCAGAAGCTCTCCTTTTCCTCTCTCAAAATAACAAGTGTTATTCTTTAAGTAAAGTGACTGCATGAACTCTTTGTAGTTTTATACTCCCCCCCCACTCCCGTATTTTTTAATTGCATAGTTGCTTCTGGATATTTATGCAGACAGACTTATTAACAGGCATTTGATCCCTTTTTAAAATTGCTTGTAACTTTTACACACTTGTAATGAGGACGGTTGCTGCCTGAGGAGGATTTAGAGCCGGGTTGGAAGTGTTCACGGATAAGCACGGAGACGCGGTGTGACCGCAGGTTCCTTTTCCCCGGTCACTGACTGTGCTCCTTGGCGTCCCTGGGCTCCTCCCCTGTCGGGCCCGAAGGAGCCGCCAGGGTTTTCACATCATCCAGCTCTTACAGTGCACGCTCTCTTCTCCCAGCCTCTCCGCCAGCACCCTGTCCATGTCCTCCGGGAGCAGCCTGGGCTCCCTGGCCTCCAGCCGCGGCTCTCTGAACACGTCCAGCAGAGGGTCGCTCAGTTCCCTCAGTTCCAGCGAGCTCTACTACAGCAGTCAGGGGGACCAGCTGGACGCGGATTATCAGTGCAAACTGGACTTCCTCCTGCAGGAGAAAGGTGGCTACATCCCTTCCGGACCCATCACCACCATCCACGAACATGAAGTGGCCAAGTCCCCCAGCCAGCCTGGCCAGGGTGGCCCCTGTGGGGCAGCGGCCGCAGCCACGGGCCACACTGCCCCCCTGACCGAGGCCCCCAAGTCTGTGACGTCCCTGTCTTCACGGTCCTCCCTTTCCTCCCTGTCCCCTCCTGGCTCCCCCTTGGTCTTGGAGGGCACGTTCCCCATGTCTCCCCACGACGTCCCCCTCCATCAGTTCAGTGCAGACTTTGAGGACTGCGAATTGAGCAGCCATTTTGCAGACATCGGCCTGGGAGAAAATCAGATATTGCTGGACTCGGATTCCAGAGGAGCAGCGCGGTCTCTTCTGGGGGATAAGGAGCTCGCCGACTGCGCTGGGGAGCTGCTGTACGAGGGGCCGGCAGGTAAATGGAGATGCGCGCACTCACCTCCTTACTCCCTCTTTACCGTTCTAAGAAGAGTGGCTAGAGTTATTCTTCCATGGAAACAAGTGGTACCTGTCCCCCTTCTCTTCCTGCTGCTCTTTTTTTATTTTGACTTCATTTGGGAAAGAGTTTTTATTGCCATACCTACACATTTTGTCTTTATCAAAATCAGATCGCCTTCCCCACTGAATAGATTTGATCGCTGAGTGTCTGTTCTGTTGTCTAGAACCCACGGTGTATGGCAGCTGACTGGGGATGTATTTTGTGAACACACGTCATCCTTCCAGACAGCTTCTGGTTCTGAAACAGCGAGGCAAAGAAGAGGACTTTCTTTTCAGAGTCGGCCTAAAACAGCTTAAAACCAAGGCAATTAGCATACCAGCTAATTAGTACCAAGGTTCAGTGTTTAGATTGCTGTGGGAATTCTATACAGATACAATTTTTGTTTCATGCCAGGCTCTCCCTTTCCGCCTGAATTTGGTTTGGAGAAAGCCAGTTCCAGTGTGTGGTGTGACTGACACCTTCTGGCCACAGTGCTAGCTGCAGCCCGAGAAAGTGCCATGTGTGCTCCAGGAGACAGAAACAGGGAAAATTAAAAAACATTAAATTGTTTACCTTTGCAAGGCAGGAGCGTTTAATGTATTAGATGCAGTTGGGGAGAAAATGGGATGGTGCCCTGGTTGGCAAATTATCACATTGTGGTCCGAGGAGCCAGCCCACAGCAAAACGTGAAATAAATTCCAGCGCTGGATCCAAGGAGCCCTGCTTAGATCTACACATGCTCCGCATGCCCACAGCACAGAAGAGGCCAGTCCTCTTCAAAAGTATTTTCTTGCTGTTTCAGGAAGCATATTTATTTTGTAGTTTGGGTCCTAGGAATCCTAAGTCTTAATTGATTGGCCAGTTCAGATGTTTAAAGAGGCAGAGGAATCCGTCTCATTTGTGTGGGTTCAAATACTGAAGGCTGAAACCCCACCTGCCGGTGGCCTGGGGCTGAGGCAGAGCGCAGGAGGCGTCTGTGTGGTCTGCATGCCGCTTGCCTGGCAGGTGCAAAAGCTACAGGTCGTGTATTGTTGACATCATCAACCGCAGAGAGAATGTGCACAGGGGCGGGGTTCACACAATGGCTCCAGCAAAGCAGAAACCTGCCGTGGGCCTCATGTCTGCCCTCGGGAAGGCGTGCGACATGTGGCCAGGTCCCTCCACCCCTGGGGCCAACCCAGCCTGCACTCACATCTCGGCATCCCCGTTGACTGGCCATGTTCCAGCAAGCATGTTACCCAGTCTCTCAAGCTGGTTGTTCCTCATCTGCAGAATGAGGATAAGGCAGTGTCCACCTCGTGGGTGTTGGGAGGGCTCATGCTCCCATACTGCATCTAAGTTCACGCTTGGCACTCAGTTCTCAGTAATTAATATTAACCATATGATGCTAAGTAGTGCAAACTCCACCAAACCCAGTTCCTAGCAAAAACCACTGACATTTACGAAAGGAGGAACGAGCAAGAGAGGGAAGAAAGTGGAGTGGGTTTTGGGCTATTCTTCTGTGATTTGGACTTAAAGGATCTTAGAATTCTTGAGCATCTCAAAGCTGTTTTTGCTCTTCATGTACTTGGAATGTGCTCTAGTGACCACTTCTCAACATTCAGCCAGTTTGGAGGGGCCAGTAAATGATGCTGGGTGCTGGTAGATGGGGAAGAGACGGCCCAGGGTCAGCCCCACCTGGCGCTCCTGAGGCACTGATGTCTCCGGCTTTCCTGCAGTGTCTGCTGGCCTCTGCGTCACTCCTGGCCCTTGGTCTGCTCCGGTGTCTGCCTGACAGGTCTGTGCCTGGAGACCAGTGTCTCCAAAGCATCCACGGAACAGCTTTTAACTTTTTAAATGCATATTATGTTAGGGAACTGCTGTTTAGAAAGTCACACTAAGGGAAAAAAATGTATCAAAGAGCTTTGCCTGCAAACAGCATTCCATTTCACATGTGAAGACAACTGAAAGCATGTATTTAACCATAAAGACTAAATCTCTTTAGGTTAAGTCACCAACACTTGGTCCATTCAGGGGATGTCTGATCTGGGTATGGGGGCGGGTGGCTGATGGAGGTGACACTGGTCACCCCCTCAGGGCTCCAGACTCTTTACAGATAAAGTCAAGTTCCTTTTATATACGTTTGACTCCCTGGCACCAACCCCTGCTGGACGGCAGAAATCGAGTTGGAATAACTCTGAAGTCCTTCCACAGTCAGTCTCTGTCATTGTCAAAGTCAATTTCAGGCTGCTGTGGTTATTCCTGGGGGTAATCAATAAATCATGTCATCACCTTCACCCCTCACAAAGGGGGGTGGGCGGAGAGAAGGCACTTCATCATCAAGGAAAAAGCATTCCCACTGCCAGAAATAAAAGGGAAAATGCAGCAATCAATCCTGTAATCTGAAGCCTTAAAATTTAAACATCTTAACAAGATGTAAAGTCACGACTCAGAAGGGGGGCCAAATGCATACCAAAACGAATCCCTGCTTGCCTGCCTGAGGATGAAAGAGCTCCGGGCTTACCATGTATTCGCGGATTCGTGGGAGCACAGCTTTAAACGAAGGCTCCCTGCTCTCCGCAGGATGCCGGGCATGAATGTGAGCCAGAGATAAAAGTTAAGTGGTAGTCGGTGCTAAAGACTCAGTAGCACAGAGTTTTTTTAATGGCATTAGCCGGTGAGGAATTCTCTAAGTCAAAGACTTGTTCTCTCTAACTCCTATTAGAGCAGTGGCTCAGGAGACAGACGGGGACGTGTGGAGAGGAGGGCGGGGCAAGAGGGGGGAACCTTTCTTGCCACTGAGCACCCAGCAGCTCTGTGTTACAGAGATGTCTCCAGCACTTGAGGGAGGCAGGTAGCTTCTTGCCCGAGTGTGGTATCCGCAGTGATACCGAAAAGGGGGAGGCAGGGGACCCATGAGACCATGTGCACTTTACCCCTCCCTTTAAAATGTTCCAGGACAGAGAAAAGCCATATTCCGTCTCACATCGTGACCGAGATAACTAGTATTCCAGGATCTTATAAGTCCCGGTGCCTGGAGTCATGGACCTCTTTCGATCTGAGTGGTAACATCTTTGATTGTCAGGTGGAAGTTTTCCTTTGGATGTCTCAGAACCAAACTGTGTGTGTGTGTGTGTGTGTGTGTCTACACTTAAGGATTCCTAAGGAGAAGTCCTAATTAGTGCTGTCACTCTGCCCTCCCTAGATGTGGAAAAATCATTACCAAAAAGAAGAGGGATCCACTTGCTTGGGGAGAAAAGCGCTTCCGTGTCAGCTGCGGTATCAGATGAGTCTGTGGCCGGAGACAGCGGGGTCTACGAGGCTTTCGTGAAACAGTAAGGAGTCGCCCGAGTGCTTACTCCCCCGTGTGGGTTGTAGGGTGTGGATGCACCGTCCTCAGACCACTCCGCAGTGGGAAGGGCGTTAGGCATGAAAGGAACGGCATACAGGGAATTTCAGTTACACCAGGAAGACCCCATCAGCAGGGAAGGGAGGAGCAGGCCGGTGTGCTGAAGACAGCCCAGCCTCTTGGAGGCGTAAACTCTGCTTTAATGAGAAGGTCGGAGAGGTTGGCCAGTGCCTGTTTGGCACATGAAGCGCCTCGTGTACACAGATTTCAGAAGCTTGGCACGTGTCTGGGGTGTGGTCCACCCCGGGGAGGCCCAGGAAAGCCAGGCACTGGGGAGCCTCCCCCCTAAAGGCCCAGACGCAGACCCCACTCTCGACAAGGTGAAGAAAGGTTGGAAAGAGTGAGCTTTCACCGGGCGCAGGTCCACCGGGTGCCCCAGAGGGACTGTTCATTCAGGTTTCGTTCAGAGTCAGTAAGGGGCAAACAGTAACGCAGCTGTCGGTATCTCGGGTAATAACCGGTTCCCCGTGCCCGCTGTCCCCGCCCCAGGCCCAGCGAAGTGGAAGACGTGACTTACAGCGAGGAGGATGTCGCAGTGGTGGAGACGGCCCAGGTGCAGATCGGACTCAGGTGAGGGTGTGCAGGGCAGGGGCACGCCCGGAGCTCTGCGTGGGGCAAGTGCCCGCCCGCTTCCTCATCTCATCAGCTTCTCTTTTGACAGATATGACGCAAAAAGGGCCAGTTTCATGGTGATTATAGCACAGCTTCGCAATCTGCATGCCTTCCTGATACCTCACACTTCAAAAGTGTAAGTACAATCAGTGGAGAACAAACTGAGGAACTTAAAGTTGTCTGTGTGATAACTCTATATGATAACCGAGCAATTCATCCAAATGAAGGTGTGGGAAAGACACAGCCGGGCGGATCGTGTCTCAGTCAGCAGTCGGTGAAGACAAGGAAAAGAATGGGAGAGAGCATACTGGGTTTTCATCCTTACTCAGCCGATTCCGTGTTAAAAATCGGAACTGAGGCTCTTTGTCTCTCTCTTCAACCAGAAATTCCACATTATTCTGTGTTACAGCCTGATTTTTTTTAATATAATTAAAATTTCTGTTGTTTCCTAATTGTGACTACTCTTGGCTTTAAGGAATTTTCTGATCTTTTACATGAAAATGTAGTCATGAAATTTCATTGGTCGGTACAGCGCTGCCAAACACCGATTCATGCTGATCGTAAAAGTATCGCATGATTTTTATCATCAGCCATTCGCTTTCCTGTGACCAGAATTTCTTAGTTATTTCACTCCATCAAACCATGAATCCCAGCGAAGTGACGCACAATTCTGCACAGTCTGCTTAGGGACTTTGTTTCCTGACAGATGGACCGCCATCCCCGCTTCCTGGATTCAGAGTTCAGTTCCAGTGACCCTCCGTAGGGACCATGGCTGGAAAGTATCGGGAAGAAACCAGATTTCAGCTTAGCACCTCTGACTTAGATTCCAGAACCTGTATGTCCACCTGCACTTAGTAATATGTTGAATCTGCCAGTACAGGGGCTTGGAACTGAGAAAGCGCTGTTGCAGGGTGACCCCGAGACCCCATGCCCCGCCTGGTGGTGTTTTCCTCAGTGATGGAGGGCCGTCCTCAATGGGAAGACACTCACTAGAGTAAATGTGAGAGTCCTGGGTGTTTTCCCACATCCTAATTTCTCAGAAGTCTCAGAGAAGAGGAGGTGGCGCTAAGAAAGAGCCAGGTGGAACTGCCCCCGGAGGTAGCAGCAGAGGAGAGCTGGGGATGTCTACCTATTGACACTCATCGAAGCCCGGGGGGAGGAGGATTCCAGGAGGGGATGGACTCGGAGGACCTCCTGACATCGCGGTGAGGGGGTCCTCACAGTTAGAGCAGCAAGGAGGGCTGGCACAGCGGGGGCGTGGCTTCGTCACCCAGAGAGCCCGCCTCCCAGGGCGGAGCCTGGGAACAGCATCAGTAGCGGTCGGGGAGGACCGGCTGGCAAGGTTACTTGTGACCTGCGGGGAGATCAGCGTGCTGTTGGCATAGTGCGGCCTGTCAGGGAGAAGCTCACCAGAGACCGAAGCTGTGAAGAGCCAGAGCCAACCCACGAGTCCAGGCAAAGACCACAGAGCTTCCTGAGATCATGAGCTTTTTGTCGTAACTCATACCACGGAGACCTACCCGGACAACCTCTACCTCTGCCCGGGCCACCACACTCTCCCCGGCTTACGTCTGGGACGTCGCGGAGTGCCCTGGGGAGCGTGGTGACAGGGCCCATGGTAGCATTCAGCCCGCGCGCCAGCACAGGGCCCGCGTGTCTAACAGGTCTGACCCTGCCTGAGAGGTACCGCAGCTGCCCCTAAACCCACAGCGAAAGCCTTGGCCGAAATAGCGGCACAGCTACAAATGACAACGGGCATGAACTATCCTCAAAATAGCTCTCTTTTTCTCCTAACGTCAAAACTTAATTTTTGATTATTAACTTCGACAAGCAGAGTGGATTCTCCAGCTGGTCGGCCGCACAGCGTCTCTGACTCCAGTTTGGAAAGACGCCCCCTGCAGCAGCGGGAGAGGAAAAGCACCCCACCTTCCTTCCTTTCCTGCCAGCCGTTGGTTCCTAACCATGAAAAACCTCACTTTTCACTTGGAAACGTTTCGGGATGTTGTGAATGGTTAGGCCACTGGTGCAAAGTAAACTTGAGCCTGTAGAAACAGAACATTCCTTCCCTCATCCATCCCTCCTCTCTGAAATACTTCCCTTTATCGCTTTTCCATGAAGACAGAGAAAAAAGACTTCTTTTGCTGACTCTCCAGCCTTAACAGCTGTGACCCAGGGCCCACTAGGATTTTAATACTGAGTCTCCATAATCAGTGTTGATATAAAATACAGAAATCCTGTGATGTTCCTCAGTTGTTCGTGTAAGTTTACAGTTTTTGTAATTGGAGGAAGGCACCCTTTAGACTGTGAGTTAGAAAGCCTGGAAATGCGCGGGGGAGGGGACCTCACGGGTGTTCTCTGTCTGTGCTGGTTCCAAGAATTGTGAGTCCTCATGTAACGTGTGCTCTGAAAATCCACTTTAAAGTAGTTTTAGAAGTTACCGTTTTCCTCCAGCTCTTCCTCTGAATTTGACAAAGCAAAGAACAGTTTGTCATATCTGAGACCTCTGAGATGCTAGGCAGTGATATTTTTGAACTGTTGCATTTCACATTTTAAACTTTCTTAACAATATGCTGCTTAGCGTTCCTCTTCCTCTAGTAGGATAACGTATTCCATTCCTGGAGAATGATCGTCAGCATCTCTTGGTTATTGCACAGAATGAGCGTTCTTTGGGACAAAATCACCCATGTCTACTCAGTATGTCCCACTTTCCCAGGTTCGGACAGAGGTTCCTGTGGAATTGGCTGAATGCGGCAGGCAGGATGTTGAATCCATCTGCCCCGAGGTCCCTACCAGGCACCCCTGCAGCCCTGGGGGGAGTGGCAGCCTGGCCTGGCATGATGGGGGCACTGTGGGCAGGAGCAGGGCCCCTCTGCCGCTGAGCACGGACGGCCCACTGTGCGGCCAAGCTCTGGCTCGTAATGAATCCGTGCTTTCCTGTGCTCTTCCCTCAGGCGGATAATTTCAGTGCCAGCGGTGAATCCCACGGCACTGAAGCACCAATGAAACCCCCTTCATTCTTGTTCTTTGCAGATATTTTAGGGTTGCCCTTCTTCCCTCCTCGACTGATGTCAGCTGTCTGTTTCGAACAAAAGTCCATCCAGCCACGGAGTCCATGCTGTTCAATGATATGTTCAGAGTGGCCATCGCCCAAACAGCCTTGCAGCAGAAGACCCTGAGAGTGGACCTGTGCTCTGTTAGTAAACACCGAGGGGAGGAGTGCCTGGTAGGGCTTTTCACAATTTCCGTTATCAGATTATGCGTTTATGGTGGATATTCTGAGAACGACTTTGCTAGTTGCTGTTCAGTCTGCCCCAATACTGCTACAAATCTGCCCAGCGTCTCAGACATCTCCAACGGTGCTTTCATTTTTGTATCTGAAGTAGTGATTTCTGGTTTTCATTCTCTTACTGCAGACCTTTCAAACCTGCTTAGAAATTATGATTTTCTGTAAACCTACTTTTCACTTCCAACCTTTGGGATAAAGAAGAACTTTGACCTCTGTTATGACCATCACTGTGGAGTTTGTTTATTATCCCCAGGACCAGCCTTGTGCTGGGTGCTCCGTGTACATTATCTCATTTAATCCTCATGACAATCTTATGAAAAGAATATGATTTACCCCTGTTTTCAGATAAAGAGCTGCTTGGAGAGGTAATGTGCCCAGGGCCACACAGCTCGTGAATGAGGGATAGATTATCACAAGGACCTCCCACCCATAATTCACTGTTACAGGTTTAAGTTAAGCAAGACACTGAGTATACAGTTCCTTTCTTCACCTGGTTCTCCCCAGCCATGGTGCCAGAGCTTCTAGGAAGATTAAGTGTTACCTAGAGCAATAGGATATTTAAATGCCAACGCAGAAAACTTCATACATGACTAAAAGTGAGTGTAACACACTGGTGTGCATAATGACCAGAACATCAGTACATGCCAGTAGGGTGACACAAGGTGTTCAAATGCTGGCGTCTAGAGGTGTGCCCTGGTGTTCAAGGAGCAGTGTGATCGCTAGCTGAAACCCAGGTTGCTTAAGGGTCCACTGTAATCCCAGTCTAAAAACCAACCCTGAGATTCTTTTGTGATCCACTTACATGCAGATTTTTTTTTCACTAAGTATGTGCCATGATACTACATAGCTCGTGGTTGGCTGAATCTGCAGATGTGGGACATCAGATGCAGAGACCAACTGTGAGGTTATAAATGGATTTTTGACTGCAGGGTTGAGGGGTGGTGTTGGTGCCGCTAACCTGCACGTTGTTCAAGGGTCACACGTGAGATTATGACATTTCCAGATTAAAAAAAAATCCACCACTGCTTTATGAATATTGTATTTTTTTTTACCCTAAAACAAGCTTGTCCAGTAATTTTAATTATATCAGAGGAAGGAATAGTTATGGATTGAAATGTTTTATTTTCTCTCTTTTTTTTTCTCCTTTCATTTCACATAGGCTGGAACTCAGATCAGCCTGGCAGATTTACCATTTTCCAATGAGATTTTCACTCTGTGGTATAACCTACTTCCCTCAAAGCAAATGTCTTGCAAAAAGAATGAAGAAGAAACTGAGGATTCTATATTTCAACCAAGCCAGCCACTAGTCGATGCGATAGACTTGGTGAGTCACAGTTGGAGAAAGACGTCATTCCAATTCAGTGAAATCCTATGGACCAGAGAGAACGCTGTGATGCCAGCGTGCTTTGATCCACGTACACTGCACCCCGCTCTCCGTTCATAGCCTTCCCTCTTCTCCCAGCTTCCTAACGAGAGAGAGAGAGAGAGAGAATTTCCAGCTTTGTTTCAAGTCTACTTTATAAAAGAATCACTTGTTTCTGCTCACACTTCCTTCCATAAAAATAAACTGACACGGAGGTCTCATTGTTTTCAGTGACTCTGGAAAACGTTCTGATTTAAATTTGTGCTTTCATATGTTCACATCTTAGATTCCACTACCAGGTTCCTCATTTGGAACTCTCACATTTTTGCAAGCATACAGTTACTAAGCCTGAACAGGGCCTTGGTTTCCATTTGTAACATCAATATCCATAAATATTTTCTTTTAAAAAGTGTGTTTGTAACCAACAGTCATGCTGCAGCACTACACAAAAACGAACATAGGGGCATCTTGTGAAGCCAGCCTTCACTGATTTGGCACTTGTGGGTACTGTTAGTGAGTTCAAGTTTATTCTAAATGATCTGTGAGACGTTTGCTAAGCAAGAGTGATTCTCTAACAAAAGAGCAGTGCGTTACTGACCATCTCTGTGCGAGAAACTGCAGCGACCATTGTGGCAGGTGGGACCGGGAACACACGTGCTCGTAAAGCAGACCTTTCTTCCATGCACGGCTTCCCGGGAGCCACCACGGGAGACAGGCAAGATGATGAAATATGATTTCTGCATTTAAGAATGCTTTTGTAATGGCCACGCTGTGTATAGGATTTTTTTAAACAGCTTTATTGCAATATAATTTACATACCATACAATTCATCTGTTTAAGGTGTATAGCTCACTGATTTGAAGCACACCATTCGATGGCTCATGGTACATTCACTGAACTGTGCAGCCGTCACCACAGTGTAATATTAGAACTTTGTCGCCAGCCCAGAGAGAAGCCCAGTGCACAGTAGCGGTCCCTCCCGGTTCTTCCTCATCAACCACTGATCATCCTTCTGTCTCTGTAAATTTGTCCATTATGGACATTTTCCATAAATGGAAGATTACAATATTCGTCCTTTTGTGAGCAGCTCCCTTCACCTTGCATAATGTTTTCAAGGCATATCCATATTGTAGCCTGTATTAGCGCCTCATTCCTTTTTCCAAATAATATTTCATCGTATGGATAGACCACGTTTTATTTATCTGTTCACCAACTGATGAGCCTTCGGGCTATTTCTACTTTGTGATTATTATCAATGATGCTGCTGTGAACAGTCGGATACAGGAGTTTGTGTGGACGTCCGTTTTCATTTCTCTGGGGCGTGTACCTCAGAGTGGAATTACTGGGTCACCTGGTGGCTCTGTGTTTAGCGTTTGGAGGACCTGCCTGCCTGTTTTCCATCCTCCCCAGCAATGTCTGAGGGTTCCAGTCCTGCCACACCTGCCACGTGTTAGCAGTCTGTCTTTTTGATTCCAGCTGTGCTGGTGGGTGGGAAGGGGTATCTCTGTAATTTGATTTCACGTTTCCCTAATGGTGAATGATGTTGAGCATATTTTCATGGACTTATTGGCCATTTATATATTTTTTGTTTGTTTTTGAACTGTCTATTCAGATCCTCTGTCTATTTTTTAAATGGGTTATTTATCTTTTTATTGTTCTTATGAGTTACTCATATATTCTTGAGACAAGGCTCTTACCTAATAAATGATTCACAGATGTTTTCTCTCGTTCTGTGTGCTGTCTTTCCACTTTCCTAGTAGTTGCATTTGCAGTACAGGAGTTTTAAATTTTGATAAAAGTCCAATTTGTCTGGTTTTTTTTCTTTTATCGCTTGTGTCGTATCTACGAAGGCTTTGTCCAACCTAACATCACAAAGATTTACTCTTTCTTCTGCGGATTTTAAAATTTAGTCTTAATTTTTAGGTTCGTGATCAATTTGAGTTGTTTTTTATGTGTGACGTGAGGAATGGGTCCAGTTTCATTCTTGTGCATATAGGTTTACAATTGTCCCAGGACTGTTTATTGAAAAAACTATTCTTTCCCCCACTGAATTATCTTGGAACCCTTGCCAAAAATCAGCTGACTATAAGTTTGAGCATTTATACTTCTGGACTTTAAATCCTGTTCCATCAGGCTGTATGTCTACCAGGCCAGTACCATATTGCCTTGGTTACTGTAGTTTTGCAGTTCTTTTGAAATCAGAACGGATGAGTCCTCTAACTTTTTCTTTTTCAAGATGGTTTGAGCTACTCAGGGGTCCCTTACTTCCCATATGAATTTTAGCATCACTTTGTTAATTTCTAAAAAAAAACCACGATTGTTTGATAGAGATTGCACTGAGTCTTTAGGTCAGTTTGGGAAGTATTGTCATCCTAACAGTTTTAAGTCTTCTGATTCATGAACATGGGACGTCTTTCCATTCATTTAGGCCTTCCTTAGTTTCTTTCAACAATGTCTTGTAGTCTTCAGAGTATGCCTTAGGCTTTAAACCGTATCATCTTACTGTTTGTTTTCTTTTAGTCCTGTCTTTTTTCCTCTTCTCCCCTTCTTTCGGATTAATCAATTTTTAAAATTTGATTTTTCCTTCTATTAAAACATTAGTAAAAGAGTCTTTTATTTTTGGCTGTTTCCCTGATGATTACAGCATGCATCCTTGACTTGTTAGAAACTATGTTAAATTAACTCTTTTGCTTTTTGCAGACAGTGCAAAGATTTTAAGACTTTAACTTCACTATTCTCTTTCCTCCTCCTGTGCAATTACTGCTCATGTGTTTTAGTTACACATCCCACACAACGTTATTGTTATTGTGTTATTGACAGTTGGTATTCGTTTAGATTTTTCTACATCTTTGCCCTTTCTGATGTAGTCTTTCCCTTTCTGCATTATTGTGCTTACAATTTGGGTCATTTTCTTTCTGCCAGAAGAATTCCTTTAGTATTTCTTTTAGTACAGGTTTATTGTATCTTTGTTTCATTTTCATTTGTGAAGGACTTTTTTTTTTTGCTGCATATTCAGATTTCTAAGTGAGCAGTTATTTCTCTGAACACATAAAAGATAACGTTTTGTTGTCTTCCGGTTTCCACTGATTCTGTTGAGCTGCTGGAGGCCAGTCTAAAAGATATTACCTCTTTTTCCTTTCACTGCTTGCAAAATTGCCTCTTTTTCTTTGATTTTCAGCAGGTTTTGAATGTGGTAATGTGTTTTCCTTTGTGTTTATTCTAGTGAAATTCTCCAGTTCTCTTGAACATACGAATTATGAAATGTTTAATTCCTTCTCTAAATAACTGCGGTATGCAGGTCCCCGGTGGGGCTGCCTCCTTCGCCGTTGTTTTTCTTGGCTGTCCGTCACTGGGTGCTGTTCGCAGTGCAATGCTGGATATCACGTGTGAAGAACTGCACGGGCTCTGGCTGAAGAGGATTTAATATTCTGGAAGGCAGCTTGCAAAACGGGCAAATCACCCAGATCACTCGAGGGACCCGAATTCCAGTTTTTCTCTCCCTGGGACCGTGAGGCAACTGAAATACCTGCCTCCCGTTCAGTCTCCCAGCAGCTGGTTCTCGCTTTCTCGGCTTCTTGCTCAGCCCATGCGCAGCACAGGGATGGCCAGTGTCTCCACAGGAATGTGGCACAGAATATCGGGCTCACTTTACAGTCAGTCCATCTCCTCTGGCTCCTCGTATGCTGACTGCCTTGTCCTCAACCCAGTTTTCATCTTCGCATCCTCCCACCACCGCCACAGCCCTGGCGGCCGCAGTCTGTGAGCCTGTGTGCCTCCCACCCGCCAAAGGAAAAGAGTGGCGGTGATGGTCGCCTCACCTCCTTCCATCTCCCTTCTCCCTCGGATCTTGGCCCTTGTGTCCTAATTGCCTTTGCTTTGCTCTTCATTGCTATGAAACAGCTGGAGTTTTCTGTTTGGTTGGTTTTTGCTTTTGGCTTTATTTTGTTCAGCTTTGACATTTATTCTCAGCAGGAGAATTGGGTCTCATACTTTCTTCCTTTTCACACCTGGAAGCCTAAGTCCCCATCTGATAAGTTTTTGGATCATTCCTTGAAGTGTATGGTGTTCACTGTCTTGTTTTACCTTCTCCAGGATGCGGTGTCAGCCTTACTTGCAAGAACATCAGCTGAGCTGTTGGCTGTGGAACAAGAATTAGCACAAGAAGAAGAACCAGGGCAGGAGGAGGAGCAGAGGGGTCCGGAGGGAGACTGGTAAAGCAGTTATTTCCTTGTGCTGTTGGGGTCTCAAAGAGGATTTGTTTCGTATCTCATAAGAAACGTGCAGGGGAACCTTCATAGGTTTAGCTCTTACTCTGGCGTTAGTGGAAAGCAGTGCAGCGTCAGGAGCTGCCCCTCGTGGAGGGAGCCTCCTTGGTCATCAGCTGAAAGAAGTGATGGCGAGACTGGGGGCAAAGCTAACACATGAGCGAGATCCTTTGTTCCTGCTTCAGTCATTTTGACACTATTTCTTGAGCTTTTTTCTGATTTTAAGTCTAAACTATCTATTTTTAAAGGTATGGTAGTTTAGTATAGAGTCCCAGGTAAATTTAAGAACTAACTTCTTTCTGCAGACTACCAGAAGTACCACTTAGGCTCTGAGAAGTCAAAGTAGATATTCAGAAAACAGCTTCTGAATAGTTATTTCTCTGTTTATTGCCACTTTTACCTTCTTCTTCCCTTCTCATTATCTATATACCCCATTTTTTGAAAAAAGGTTAGTATAGCTTTGTGTGGATAATGTATATAGAACTATCTTTCCTGGTTTGCACTGCTTTCTCTAAAAACAAATTTTAGTGAATGTGTGCTTTTTTTTTTTAGTATATATGTAAAATCATTTGGATTAATTTTGTATGTATCATTGCTTAGACTGTTATTTTGAATGACTATGGACACATATGTGCATTTACATATATAGCATTCGTGTGTATGTATGTATGTATAAAACTTTTTACAAACTTTGAGTGACAAGATATATTATAAATAACAAAATCATGGACATTTGGAAGGAACAGCCTACTACAGTGCTGTAAAGAGGTAAGGTATACTTTGTTCTTACCAAAAGTCCTTTATAGTGACTACAAATCAGAGCACTGCAAACAGTAAAAAAAGTGAGCGTGATTATGAGATTCATCATATCTTTAAATACTAAGCCTTCCTTTTGTATGTGAAATACAGCTTGTTTCCCACACATTTCCAAAAATACACTTAGAATGTAACATAAAGGAATCGATCATTTATAGTATTCAGTGCCAGTTCCCCCGGGTTCATTTAATGACTAAATGTTTAACAACTAGTCTGTGCCAATTTGCCAGTACGTCACCAACCAGTTAAAACTTGACCATTAGTTATCAGTGGAAAAAGGACATGAATCTCAACAAAGCACAAGATACTCTTACCCCTCCTGGTACTCTTGTTTTCCTGTCAATACAGTTTATATAGAATATAAACCATGTTTGTATTCTGGAGCCACGCTTGTAATGCCACCTAAAGCCCATGCCACAGCTCTTGTTAAAGACAGGGTCCTAGAGCATTAGGGTCTTCTGTCATCTCAGTGGTAAAACTCCCTTACACAGGGCTGCGCCCCTGTCAGACCGTGAGCACAGTTGATAATGGATATTTTTATTCACTCTTAGCAGAGTGAATAAAATGGAGCATTCAGTTGTTTGATTAATTTTACAATAAACGAACAACTGATACCAAGTTATATTATAGTGAGTGTCAATATTTTTAAATGATGGGTTAACTTTATATGTGATTTTTAGCATATTTCTATTTAATATTTAGGACTTAGGTCAAATTTCATGAATTTAACTTTACAGTATGAAGTTAAGGTGATTTTGCTGCAAATTACCAGAGAGAAAGATAAGTTTATCTTTCATGAGTGTTTTAGTAAAAGTTCCAGCCCAGGAACTGGCCTGAATCATGATGTGTGAGTCTGTTCATTGCACAGATAACAGTTTACACGCCCAGGTTGCTCTGATCGTGGAGCACACCTGCTTGACCGTGAACAGGGTTGTGTTTTGTTGTGTTGTGTTTCACCTTAGGTTAACAATGCTAAGAGAGGCCTCTGATGAAATTGTGGCTGAGGAAGAGGCTGAAGTTAAATTGCCTGAGGGCAGTCACTGCACGGAAGACTTAAGATCATGCCCGAGTGTGGCTGAGATGAGTGAGGACGCGACCAGGAAAGAAAACAGCTGTGCCAGAGACCCGGGGGGTCAGCCCCCCGCTGTGATACCCGCCCTGGTGAGGTTCTCAGCTCAGACCTAAAACGGGACCCCTAGCGACCCCACGTAGACACACGTGTCTCTTCAGGTGTCACTGCATATTAGGATTTTGTGCCATAGCTGGTTGTGAGGGGTATGTGGGAGATTAAGCCACTGAAGCATCGTAAATGCCCTAACGTTTCCTGATGGGCTCCAAATAATCATTCTCCACTTACATTTCATATAAAATAGTGCTGTTTGGCTCTCTAAATGTTCTGTGAATATTTAGTAAAAGCATTTTCAGAATTTCCTGCATAACAATGGGATGCCTACTTAATTGTACATTCCATAAATGTAAGTTTATTTCAATTTCAAATATGAGGCAAACATTTAAAGTTCATGTTGGTTAGATGGTGTTCTGATTGAAAGCAACTCCGGAAGATGCCACATGACTCGTTTCAGGCACAGGTGCAGGTCATGCTATCAAGCAGGTAACTTTGCAAGTTACTTGAGGGGCATGTTCAGACTGCCACCCCCAAAGGGGGAAATCGTTTCCAAGGTTTCAGTATGCTGGCAAACTTTGGGGATTAGAAAATTCCAGTTCTTTATTTCTGAGAAAAATAATGTTATACTCTGCCTGAAGACCATATATACACACACATATATATGTGTGTGTGTGTGTATACACACACACACACACACACACATACATATACATATACACACAGTTGGCCTCCCACATTCATGGCCCCCATACATTCGCACCCCGCCCCACATTCAAAGCTTGGATTCAACCCACCGCGGATCTGACTGAACTAACTGCGGATAGTAAACAGCACACAATTGGCCAATCGCCCAAGTGTGGAAGTGTAGATACCGAGGGCCAACTTTGCGACTTGAGCATCCACAGGCTTTGGCATCCAGGAACCAATCCCCCACGGATACAGAGGGATGACTGTATATATAATTGCATATTCTGTGTAAACCTGTATGTAACTTTACAGGTTTAACTAACATATTTTCATTGTCTTATATTTAATTACTTTATCATTTATTCTGGAAAAAAATGAATCAAAAAGTTGAATAATGTTTAATGATGAAGCAGCCTCAAATAAGATTCTCTATAGAAGCACATTTACCCTCTGTAAATCTAAACTTCATTTTTCCGGTCGCCTCCGTTAGAGGGGCACCACCACTTACGGGGAGCCCTGTCGGGCGGATGTTATCCTACACACCAAGGGTAGCTGCCCAAGAGCTAAATAGAAAGCCACTTCCCCGGGTTCCCATCACGAGAAAGACGGAGCCTGTCTCAGAAGCGGCCCTGGCGCTAGATGCGTCTCTTGTAAGATTGGGTTATTTGTTTGGTACTCAGTGTGCCCACGTCTCTCCGCTCCTGACAAATTACTGACTCGTATTCCAGGTTGATAAAGAGACAAACACCGACGAGGCGGGCAGCGCCAGTGTGGCAGTCCGCCCCAAAGACCGCAGCGGCCTGAGCGCCCGGCAGCGCGCCTTCGTGAGGAGCAGCGTGATCGTGCGCTCGCAGACCTTCTCCCCCGGGGAGCGGAGCCAGTACGTCTGCAGGGTAAGGCGTCTGCGGGGCCTGCGGGGCGAGGGGTCTGCCAGATGGCGCGGAGCATCTCGGGGCAGGGTGTCTGCAGGGTAAGGCACACATTTCTTGGGGAGCTGCTGCTGCCTCTCCCCACCCCCACCCCCCAGGGAGTGACTCAGCAGTGACAGTAGACTGTGCCACAGGGATCTTCAGACTAGGATTAAAGAACTAATGGCTAGAAATGTCATAATATATATAAAATACCACTCTCTTAATCGTTCTTTTTAGTTTGGGTTGTGGATTTCTTCTTTCCTTTCTTTCCCCAAATTTAATGTCTCTTTGCTTCTAATGCCATTTATTTAGCAAACAAGTGGCATTAAGGACCTGGCTGCTACGTCTGTTTGGACATCGATGTGTATTTAGAAACTTAAATTGACTTGAGATTTATAGTATCTTGTATATTTCTGCTGTATATTATGATGCTTCAAACCACGTTCATCCTGCTGAATCAAAAATTATACATTGGGTTTTAGAACAAAACCTGTCTTTTAAGTACCTTGGATGGGAAACAGCAGAGCTTGTTGAGAAGGAATGGGGATGCTGAGGATGAGGGTCGCAAATTCAAGCAGGGTTCAGACTAGACCTCATGAGAAGGTGATGTTTCAGCAAAGACCTGAAGCAGGTGAGGGAGTGAGGATGGGCTACCTGGGCTGAGGATGTTCTAGGTGTCACACACTGTGACCTCACTCTGACCTTGAACTCTGTGCATTATTCAGACCTTTCATTTAAAGAATGACTGTTGCACATTAGCTAAAAATACAAAGGGTAATTTTATTTCAAAATGTGTATAATTATCTTAACATATGACTTCTGATAACTGTCACCTGAAAGCAATTATTTAAATTATTTTAAATCAGGTTATTCAAGAAAAGCATAAACAGGGGAAAACTTGTTTGGAAAGGATTTTCTTAAAGAAATAAACTCGTATTATCACTACCTTCTTTCTGTGATAAACTTCTCAATTCTAAACTTCCTCTAGCATATTGTTATAAAGTGATTTACCTTTTTTTTTTTTGTCCTTTGTTGCCAGTTAAATCGAAGTGACAGTGACAGTTCCACCCTGGCTAAAAAATCACTGTTTGTGAGAAACTCCACCGAACGGCGAAGTTTGAGAGTCAAAAGGGTATGTATTCCCTCAGCAGCATCCTACTGTCCTAGACCCAGCCAGAGTCTTGAATGTCCAAAGCCCAAACACCAGAACTGCCAAACGTCCCTGCTCCGTGCTCTTGTGCTGTGGAATGAAGCCACCAAGATTACAGAGACACAAGCACTGCGTCAGTGGTAGAGATGGAGAGAGGGCGTTCATTCATCACGGGTCCGGAACCTGCGCTGATGAAGGGGGAAGGCTCGGTCCGCAGTGTGGGTGGAGAGTGTTTCTGCCACTGGCCGCCTGCTCTGGGGCCGCCGGGGAGAGTGTAACGCCGGTACCTTTTGCGAGGGCAGACCATCTGGTAAAGGAGTACCTGGTTTTAGGAGTGTACAAGGAGTAACCTGCTTTTAAAAACAGATACTTTGAGGTGAAGGTTAATGTAGATTAAGCCAGCTTTTCCTGGAAGCCAGAGGTCTTTGGATGAGCTTTAAAGGGTAACCTTGGGAGAATAAATAAACTAGAAGCTTGGACTGTTCAGAAATTCCTGCTTACTTACCAACAGCTGACATACTAATGGAAAGTTGTTTGTTTACCAATAATTTGTTTGGTGCTCATTTAGTAGGCTGCTTTATTTCAGCTTAAAACGTGCTGTTCAGTAAGTGTGAGGCACCGTGCGTGCTGAGCTATGCAGTGATGCGGTGGTGCGGACAGGATGCTCCGACTGTGCGTTCAGAGAGCGCACAGGACTCGGCAGAGCGCGGCTAGAAGGGAGTGAGTGCATCTGGTGGGGAGACTTGAAAAGGCTTCGCAGGGAAGGTCTCTGGTCTTGACGCCCTGGAAGATTTTCAAAAGAAAGTGGTAGCTTTGTTGGGAGGACAGAGATGGACCCTGGGTGCTATTGGTGGGTGGCATGAAATGACACAGGACAGCGAAACATATTCAGGGCATAAGGCGTGATCCTGCTTGGCCAGAGCTCGGCCCTGTGAATGGAAAGGTTGGGAGTGAGGACTGGAAAGGAGGTAGAATCGATATCTTGCCCAGTGACTCTGTATTTACGCCGATGTGTGCAGAGTACCAGCTGTGTGCCTGGGCAGCATTTAACTTCCTGCTTTAGCCTCCTAGTTACCTGACAGTCATAAACATCTTTCTTTTTTCTAAAGGTAAATACGCCTTTTGATATTTTGAAGTATAGGTCTCTCGGGTTACCAAGTTTTCTGCTTTAAAAGCACTTAAATTTCCATCCTCTTGAATGAAAGTTCTTCTCAGCTCCTTAGGACGGTAGCACTCTTCAGAGAACTTTAAAGTTTATGAATTGAGTGGAGCTGAAAACAGTCAAGTTACTGATAAACTTAGTTATTAGAACCTCTTGCATCAGACAAAGGTTAACCCTGAAATGTCGTTTAGGAGATAATAGTTAATGGTTTTTAAAGCGAGCAGCTAAAGTTTGGTAGAAGTGAATAGGGAACACTCTTCTGATTTAGGAGTTACAGCAGGAAAAAGAGGTAGCAGTGAAGAGCACAGAGCAGTGGAAGGCGTCCGGGATGGGAAAGGCGGTGGGCCCGGCGTGGGAGGCACGAGGCTGGGGGGACCTGTTGGCACAGCTCTTCCCAGTTCAGCGACCCCACGCTGACACTCTGAAGGCAGATACGGTGGGAGCATTGGCACCAAGGAAACCGGCAAACCACACAGATCGGGGGCCTCAGTTATACACGCAGCAGTGGAGCAGCGGGCCGCCGCACGCGGGAGTCGTTAGGGAGCCCCATGGGCCCGACACCTGGGAAGGATTTCTGATCTTGAAAAATGAGTAACACAGTCGTAGAGAGTGTGAGTCTGGGTGATTGTGCTGTGTAATAAGTGTGTTAGAGCAGAGGCTGGATAAAGGGAAACCGGATAATGAGAGCAGCGGGGAATGCTGCGGCAGACCTGTGGGCAGGGAGACGGGGAATCGGAGGAGACAATGAGGGCTATTCAGGCTGGGCCGCGGCCCTGAAACACGAAGAGGGGCAGCCAGGCCCTGTCCCTCCGTCCGTCGTGAGCACCGCCGTTGTTCCAGGCCTTCCGGCTGGAGGACCTGTCAAGTCCGAGCCCCTTCTCTCTCGTATCAGATAGTACCGGCTTTATTAGTGATCTCTCGTCTTCCACCCCCACTGCCAGCAGCCTGGGCAAGAAGGGCCCTCCGCGCTTCCCTTTGCTCAGGCCGCCCTGCCCAGTCTCGGCCGAGTTCCCTTCCTTGAGTGAGTCTGACCCGGCCCTGAGTCACCCTCGCCCTGGCTTCCTGGGACAGAAGACGCTGCTTCATGGTTCACTTCTGTTTTCTGTCTCGGGCCATTCCCGAAACAAAGTCCTCAAGGGCAGAAATGGTGTCTTCTCTGTCTGGTGTTCTGCCTCCAAACCCCCAGAAGACACTTATTCATACACATTCAGGAATTATTTCTTCATAAGCGGATGAGCTCGGCCCCAGGAGGAACACAGGGGCTCGGGGGTGGAAATGGGTGTCGGCCGATGGGAAGCCGGGGAGAGAGGCGGCGCGGAAGGATGCTGACGGGAGGACGGAGTCAGAGCCCTCGCTCCACAGAGCAGCTGCTGGCTGGCCGGTGCTTCTAGAAGTGACAGTGGGCGGTGCCAGCTGCGAGGCCACCGCCGTGTGTCCCGGGACGGAGGGGCTGTGAGTGTGCTGTGCTGTTTTCTTAGAGGGCTGGCTCTGGGTGGTAAACCAGTCCTGCTAAGCTAGGCTGTTCCATGGTAACAACTTGAAAAATCTCTGCAGTTTAAAACAAGAAAGGCGCACGTGTGGTTGAGTTCCTGTTCCCTGCCGGCAGGCTGGGGCCCTGCTCCTCGGCCTCCCTCCGCACCCCCGCCACGGGGCCTCCGCCGCTGGGTCTCTGCTGTCCCTCTCGCAGGGGACAGAGAGGGACAGCTCTCACACTCCGAAGGCCTTCTGCCTGGAGGTGACACCTCACTCCCCCCGCCCTGCCCTCCATCGGCCAAGGCGGGTCACCGGGCCGGTTCCGCTTCGTTTCAAGGCAGCAGGGACACGCGCTCCTGTCACGGGCCCGGAAGGAGGGCGAGCAGGCGGGTGAGCGCCCGCGTAACTAGGGCGTCTTGTTCCGTCTCCTGACGCTCCAGGCGGTGTGCCAGCCGGTCCTGAGGAGGACGGCGCCCGAGTGCCCGGTGCGGACGTCTCTGGACTTGGAGCTGGACCTGCAGGCCTCCCTGACCCGGCAGAGCCGCCTCAACGACGAGCTGCAGGCCCTGCGGGGCTTGAGGCAGAAGCTGGAGGACCTGAAAGCGCAGGGCGAGACCGACCTCCCGCCGGGCGTGCTGGAGGACGAGCGGTTCCAGAGGCTCCTGAGACAGGCCGAGAAGCAGGTACGGGCCGCCGCCGCCGCCGCCGGCTTCCTCTTGCTGGCCCTGCGGTCCCCGCCGCCCCTCACCGACCCGCAGGCGCAGCAGGGCACGCACCCGCACACGTGCACAACATGCACGCACACATACGCACATGTGCACGCATACACGTACACATGCACACACGCCTGCCCATTCACGTCCACCACTTCCCCTCCGTGTTGGGGATTTGTGAGATTTCCAGCACCGTGACCATAAAATGCTAACAGCGAGCAAAGAGCCTGCCAATTGCCCTAAAAAATGTGGCTCCCAGGAAAGCCGAGGTGGGAGCCAGCCGCAATCCCAGATGTGCCCCCTTGTCAGGACGGCTGTCAGGCCTCTGCGTCACACTCCATAACCTTCCCCCTTTGCGGCTGAGCGTCTGTTTTGTAGCTCAGAGTGGAAACTGAATCAGAGTTAGTGTCCCCGTGTGTCTTACAACCCCCTGAGGAAGGGGAGCGAGGAGCTCAGGACTGTAAATTAGGCTGGATTGTGTTCTTTATGTCGCCAGGCTTCTCAGTGTGACTGTGAGTGAATCACTGGGCCTTCCTGCAGCTCAGGCTCCCACCGCACAAACTGGAGGTCAACCACGCTCCCCTGGAACGTGGGCCGTAAAGAGCGCATCACGACCTGTGGGGTGAGAGGGGGAGGCCGGGCAGGTTGGTGTCTCTCCCAAGGAGCCTCAGTTGCTCACAAAGCAGAAGTTTCTTTCTCTTCCTCTGAGGGTTTCCCTGTCAAAATGCCGAAGTTCTGTGACGCTAGGCTTCTTAGAAGCTTGAAATAATACAGATGTTAACATTTTCACAAGTTAGACTCTACTAAGAAAATTATGTGTCAGAGATAGTAATACACCTCATTGAACAAAATAAATCTTAACGATTTCACTGACGTGCTCAGCAGTGAGACTTAACTGCCTGCGAAGTTGGCTACAACTGATTATTGGCTGCTGATGAAAATTTTATCATAAATTTTGGTGCCCAGACTTTTGGAGGAAGATACAGCTCTAGCTAGGCACTGATATAAGTATGTAAACACAGGGACAAACAGAGTCTTCAGTGAAGTGTGTTCTTATTCAGCTGGGAGAGGAGTATCTTCATGTATTCCATGTGGTCAGTCTTATGTTGCACAAAACAAAGTGATTCTGCAGTCGCCACGTGAACGCTGGCAGTTGCAACTATCAGCAGCCGTTGGCCGGCTTAGAGGGGCCGCCTAACGGCGCTCTGCAGGGGATGAGACAGACCACCTCGCCTCCCTTCGCGTGGAAGGGGACAGAATACTGAATGAGGTCCCGGGGGCCGGTTGTATCTCTGATATGATAAAATACATTTTCTTGCGGAAGCTGGGCCAGATTTTCTTATCTAAGAATATCCAGCACGTACATTCCTTCTCTGGTTTTTCCCGATCTGTCCATCTGTTCACATCAGTAGGCAGACGGCCATTTGAGGCTGGTTTGCTCATGTTGTAGGCCACCAGGAGTCAGACCAGCAGCAGCACTCCAGCAGGGTGACTGGTTTCCCCGTCTGACGCAGCGCACCATGGTAGAAGTCACTTCCTTGTGTTTACTGAGTCAGTAGTTCCCACCCTGGGGCCTGGTGAAAAACCATCCATTTGCAAAAGAGCATTTGGGCACGTGGGTGTCACCCGATGCTGAGAAAAGACCCCTCCTCCTCAGCTGCCAGGCCGGCTCCTGGCGTTAGCCCGGTGTCTTTCAGGCTTAGAGCCTGTATTTGGAATTTCTAATTAATGTTTTGTGATGTAATTTCCTCGCCAGGCCGAACAGTCGAAAGAAGAGCAGAAGCAAGACTTGAATGCGGAGAAGCTGATGAGACAGGTCTCCAAGGACGTGTGTCGGCTGCGGGAGCAGAGCCGCAAGGTGCCCCGGCAGGTGCAGTCCTTCAGGTGGGCACCCCAGGAACTCAGACCCCTCCCCCTGGTCCCAGGTGTGCATCCCCCCCCCCCAGTTCCTTCCCACTGGCTGCAGTCCTGACTCAGCTGAAGCCTGGCTCCCCAGGGGCCTGGGGCATCCCCAGCTCTTCGAAGCAGTTAGCACACCTCATGGAGAAATCGTAACACAGAGGGCACAGGAAAGTCACATGTCGTCAGGGTCTTGCTGTCGCCTCACGGGACATAGTCCTTGGGCTCCTGGGAGCCATGCCCAGGGCGGGGCCCGGCCGTCCCGAGAAGGGCAAGGGCTCCTGGCCCCCCGGAGATGCCAGCCTGTGAGGGGCGGCGGGCACAGAGGCCTGGGCAGGGCCACATAGGAAGAGCCACCTGAGGGGTGAGTGGGGTCCCAGGGGGGCACATGGAGGACTCTCACCCCTGGGAGAGGCAGGATGAGGTCAAAGAGGCAGCGTTTGAACCCGGGGTAGAAGAACAGGTCCAGGAGTGTCCAGCACCAGGGCTGGCAGGTTTGAGAAGGGACCGAGGCAGGCGGGACCAGCTCGGACAGAGGCACCAAGCCTCAGGTAGACGTCAGTGCCCGCAGGGGAGCCCGTCAGAGCTGGACTCAGACCACACAGCCCCGTGAGCCGTGCTGCGCCTTCACCTGTGACTTCAGACAGCAGGGATCGCGCACAAGAGTACGTGGTGGGGAGACTGCACGTGGGAGACATCAGAGGCACGTGGAGAGGGCCCGGGAGCCTGGCGGGGGTAAGTGGGAACTGCAGGCACGGCCTCCAGGCTCCAGTCCTGCCTAGAGATTGAGGACACGGGAGCTGGAGCGGTCATGTGCTGGGGGCGGTCAGTTCTGCTTTTGGACGTACCAGACCAGCAGTCCCAATGTGACAACTCAGGAAGCTGTGGCCAGCAGTCAAGTAAAAATAAAAATCTGAAGCCAGGATTGAAGGTCAGATGGGAGATGAAGATGGGAGCCTTCATCCCACATATGGTGGCTCCACAATGGATGTGGGTCAGACACCTCAGAAAGTGGGAGAAGGCGACCAGGAGAGGAGACCATGAGGTGTAAGAAGGAACGGCCGAGGAGATAGGAGGAGAACCGGGCTATGGTTTAGGAGTTGGAGTGAAGAGGTTAGTGCTGTTGGATACAACAGCAAAGAAGAGGATTGAAAAGCAGCCCCGGACTGGAGGCCCCTGGTGACCATCCAGGGATAGTTCAGTCAAGGGAGAGGAGGGCCGCAGAAGACGTTTGGTTTCAGTGGTTTGTGGCGGGTCTGTGGTGGTGCTCACGTGCGTGTGCGTGTGTGCGTGTGTGGCGTAGAGGAGTCTGGAGGAAGCTCTTAGGCTGAGGGGGCAGAAGCGCAAGGAGCATGTTTGGACGTGCGGGACAGACCGGATGTGTGGTGGAGCACGATCGTTGGGAAGGGATGGGCTTTGGGGCTAGAGGAAGAGTGGGGGGTCATGCTGTCCCTAGGGAGTCCCGAGAGGAGAGAAGATGGAGGCATCGTGCGCTTAAGACTCTTCAATGTGATGGTTCAGAGTAAAAAGTCAAATTTTTCCTGCCTCCATTGTGCTCCAGAACTGCTCTTGTAACTCTCAGAGGATGCTGCTCCTTGGGTCTTAGAACTGCAGGGCAGTGAAAGGAATCTTCTCATGCCTTTGGTGCTGTGGTCACTTTGAGAGTAAGAAACATTGTCCAGTCATCCAACCCCCCCCACAGGGGTTGTGTTTAAAACCCAAAGTAAAGATTTATAATCACTCCCCTAGTCCCTTAACATACAAGCCATTTATACCACCAGGCAGGTGATGACCCCAGTGAGATGGACCAGGGAAGACAGTTGGCCTGGAAACAGGCAGGTGTCTGGTCCCTGCGCTCACCCGGGGCGGGGGAAGAGTTGGGAGCGGTGGGGCCTGGGGCACTCTGCCCAAGCTGCTGGTCTCACCTGGGATCAAAGGCCCAGTGCTCCCTGGTCTTCTGATTTGTCGCGGAAAAAAAAAAAAACTTGTCGTAGAAATCGGGAATTTTTATGTGAAATATCTCAAATGTAGACGCTGACACCTAATTCAGGTGTTTAAAAAACGCCATGTGAGCCAAAGAAATTCATTTGCAGGAAGCACTGAAGAAAAGGTCCCAGTTTTGAGTTCTGCCTTCAGTGACGTCATGACCATGCCCACTCGCCTCGTTTAACTCTTAATTTTCTTACGGAACTGAGCAGTGGAAAGGATGCTCTACCACAAAAACGCTCCCTCCAGTTCCCCAGTTTTCACCCTTCCTCCTCGTCTCTCTCCTTTCCTTAGTCTTTATAGCTTCCCCACCTCAGTTCTGGCGTCTTCACACCCTCCCCCCTCGCCCAGACCATCTAACGGCTGGTGTCTCAGAGGAGGGCCGGTGCTTTCTCCTTCTTTACGGCTTCACCGCCCCCGCGTGCGTAACTCGGCCTTGGCAGACGTGTGCGGAAGGGACACTACCCGCTGTGAAGACTTTGTAGAAAATGGTAGCTATGTAATCCTAAAACCTTTTTTTTTTAACAGTCTTCTAACCTCTGAAGACCGTTCCTCTCCCTTCTTTCTCGGCGTCTCCCTTTCAGGCTGCTGCTACTCGTCCCTGTGTCAGGATGCAGGGCGATCAGCCGTCAGCCGCCTCCTCTTCCCTCGGTCTGAGTCGTGATCTTGCAAATTAAGTTGCCCTTTCCTGAGCATGGTATTGATTTCAAAGAATTTCCCCAGAATCATGGACTTTTCTGTGAGGATTCTGGCCCTCTGGAATCCTCTCCTACCTGGTCTAGAAACACTTAGACCGAGCCCCTGATGGTTCAAGACCTCTCTCACACTGGAAATCCTGGGCGGGAACTCACTGCCTTGGTCAACAGACGGTTTCCTGTGGGTCACAGCTGTCCTCCCTTGTGTCCTCCCGAGAAAAGGCAAAGACGGTCTCGATTTTCAGCGGAGCCCTAGCTAAGGAAAAGAGCTCCCACCCAGCTTGGAGAGACCACGCTGGCATCCTTGAGAAGAACTTTAAACGGGCACGCATTATTTTCAACCTCGCTTTGAAGTCGGTGTATTTCTCACCCCCGCCTCTAGGGAGAAGATTGCCTACTTCACCAGAGCGAAGATAAGCATCCCGGCCCTGCCGGCTGATGACGTGTGATGACGTGTGATGACGTGATTCCGGCACCGGCGACTGCATTTTCTCACCTCTGCATTTCTTAGGGAGGGCAAAGACTGAACATTTGGAGGTTTTGTTTTTTTGTAATATAACCATCAACTCTTAAAGAGCTTTTATTTCACGTCAGATTTTCAAAATGTTAATTTGTAAAGTACCATGAATGTAATTCTTATATGTTTAAAAAAAGAAAAAAAAAATCAGATAACCAAAACGGGCTAACCTGGTACACGAGTGCACAGTGTGTCGTATGGCCAGTGGGCTTTGTTTTGTAAAAATGGAGGAGCGGCCGTGCCCATGTCTGTCCTCTTGAGCCGACGGCTGAGAGGGGACGTGGTTTCGCAGAACGCCTCTTGCTTTCCCTTTGCGCCCCGGTGCGCAGGCTCCCGGCGGCGGGGGCGTGAGCCCGGCGCGGAGCTGCGGGTCCACCCGAACGGCTGCTGCGCTCACTTCGCCACCTCTGTCTGAATACTTCGCTTCCTTCAAACAGCTTCCTTTTTGTCCTTTTGTATTTGTCTAAAGAAAGCAAAAGCAAAATGCTGAGTGCGAGAACGTAGGAACGCAGAGGAGCAGCTCTCGTGGCTGCGCCGCGGGTCCTGCGGCCGTGACTCTGCGGGCAGGGAGCCGAAAGCAGGAAGCCAGCCAGCCAGCCTCGGATACACCGACAGCCGCCCATCAGCGAGCAGCTGCTGCTTCTCACTCAGCCGGAGTTTGCCTAAGTGTTCGCGTGTGAGCGCCTGGATTGCACCAGTCTTGTTTTGTCCCGGGGTGCGATGGTACCAAGGAGGAGGAGGTGGCCCGGTGTTCTGAGGCCCGACAGCGCCGATGATGGGGAGGGAAACACGGCAGCACGCACTTGGTGACACCAGGAATGAGAGGGAGGGCATCTTGATTGAATCAAGGTTGCCACGAATTTTAGAAATACTCCAGGAAACACATTTCTAACATTTTCCAGGAATTATTTTACAGCTCTCGTTTTTAGGGAATCCTACCTATAATCTGGGGTAAGGAGTCGGGAGGCCAAGAGAAGAGAGTGCCTGGGGAGATTATTAATTTGAAGTATAAGCTGAGTCATTTGGGAAAAAACATGAACGTGTTCTAGATGAACAAGTTTAAGGGTAGAAACTGACTACCGAGTCCTCCACTGGGGAATTTCAGCTTCCCCAGCCCAGACACTTCTTAAAAGAAACAAACCCCCAGTGTAGCTCTGCCAGCATAAAAGGCTTTTAAAATAAACAGTTTTATATAAGTTAAATCATACTTATCCTTCAGTCTGTAACACCGGGAGAGGCCGTTTTTGATGAGCCATCTTACATAGCAAGTAAAATCAATTTTTTTTAAGAGATGCAAAAATCATCTTAAAGGAATGTGCCCCTCAAAAAAAAAAAAAAGAAAGAAACACAAGTTCTATTCCTAAACTAGAGTCCTCATTGGTAAGAAATTTTATTTTCTTGAAAGTAATTATACATATTTTAGAAAGTTCGTTTTATCAGAATCAAAATTCAAATTAACAAGTTTTGAGCTTAGAACTTCAATTACTTTTTCCTAAGCGTCCCAGCATTTATATAAAATGTCTTATATAAAATCTTTGAAGCAATAACGTGGCACCACTCTGAACAAAAGCCAGCCTCATTAGTTGACTGAGCACAGTCCTCCTGCGCCACCCAGCTCATCCTGCTAGATGGCTGAGGAGAACCAGGAGAGGTCAAGGTCAAATGTGAAAAAGACGTTTATTTAATGTAGAGTTAAGTGAAGGTCAGCTGTTTTCAGCTTCTTAGTTTGACCATGAAAATGTTTATAGAATTATGTGTAGTTGTACCGTACGATTTTATTTTCTTCATTTATTTATTTACGGTCTTATTTATGTTCTGTTTAATATATAGTTCGGTTCTGGCCATCTTAAATGTTTGACATAGAAGAGGCTATATTGGAATATTTACAGCTTTATAAATTCCATCAGATTAGCTGTAAACTTTTTATAATACAAAGAGTTTCAGACAAGTGTTAAAGAATAAAATCTGTCTCAGGCTGGTAGTTAACCGTTGTGACCAAGATGCTTTTGGTTTCATTTTACAACATTTGCTCATTTCTAACATGAGAGACGAATTTATTTTAATATAATCCTTTTTCATACTTTAAAAATCAGCAATAGTATTATGTATTTATAGGCAGCTTTTAACAATCCCATCATATTTGTACTAACCCAATGATTCACAGTGACAAAACATTTTAATAACTTGATCACAAAACCATATGGACAACATGACTTTTAATACTATAAATACTATTTTTTAAAGGTAGAATTTATTCTTCCCAGGGTAAAAAGAATGTAATATTTAGTTCTCAAGTTTGAATTATCAGTATATTATTATCATTTTGTATATCAGAATGTTACAGGTACAAAAAAAAAGTTGCTAGCCAAATGAACAAGTTTAGCTGAATCTCTGTAGCATGCAAATCAAATAAATTTAAAATCTTTTTTTTTTTGGTATTACTTTATCTATATTGTATTAAACATCAAAAGCTCAGGACTGAACTAAATATTTAATCAGGTTAAATTCTGGATATGTTTCTGTTTTAATTTGTCTTGTTTGTAAAAGTATGCAAATACATCACATAGATTAACTCTGGTTTCTGCACTTTTCATGTGTTTGTGGGTGGGGAAAAAAATTCTGTTTTTTTTTTAACAAAGATATCTATTGCCTAATACTTTATTTCAGTGTCGTTTATTGTTCAGTTGTTTCCCTGATTGGCAAAAACACAGAAGTTTACTTGAACCAGGTACCAAACAAATGTAAAATCTTTAATGAAGAATCCCCCAAGCCAGCAGCTTGTTGTGAATAATTCTTGGTTGGACCATATGTATTGCTGATTTAAAAAAAAAAAGGCTCTGCCCACACCCCCAAATCCTGCCCTGCAGCGCCCCCTGTGGCTGAGCTACCTACTGCAGGCCACAGGACCCAGAAGCAAAAGCACATGTGTGCGGTAGATTCTACATGAATCTTTAGAGCAGGAGACTGCCCACCTCTGCTCGTGACATAATAAAGAAGGCATGAATGAAGGTGTCTGACTTTTGGAAAAGGCTTCATAGAGGCCCTGAGGTCTCCAATTAAAAAGGAGATGATGTGGTGGGGTGGGTGTATAGCTCAGTCGTAGAGGGCATGCTTAGCATGCACGAGGTCCTGGGTTCAATCCCCAGTACCTCCATTAAAAAACAAAGAAAGTTATTCCTTTAAACAAAAAGTGATGATGTGTCCCCTGTACTGCACCTTGCAAGCTTTCAGAGAGCCAGCAATGTTTTTGGTGTAATTAGATGTCGTACCTTTTAAATAAATAAGCAGCCTGACTTTAGTTTCAGTATAATAGGTGATCTTAAACACTTGAAAGAAGTAAATGATTAGCAGTAACATTTCCAGTTGCCAAAATGATTCACCTCTATGAATAACACCTTGGAAAGACTTGTGAGTACTAATACGTTTTATTTACCAGTTCTGTGCAATCACTGAATCTGTTTTAAAATTAAGAAAATGAGTATGATTATTAAGTCTCAATTGGTTTTGGTCTGAGTAGAATATAAAAGTGGTTTCCCATCTTAGAAAGAAATTGTAATTTCAGAAGCGATAGGGGAAAATGCATTTTAGAAAATCAAAAGCATAGTGAAATGTGTGACTGTGGAACAAGGAATCCTACCAAATCATCTGAGGAGTAAACATCACTGATCCCGTCCAGTTTAGAGTTTCAGGGGAGTGGTTTTCATCTCCAGGTGTAGATGGTGGTGCTGCATCTCTAACACTGCATAGTGGCTAG